GGAAGTTGATCAAAGCCAAAAAATGGAAGGATCTAAAGAAATAAGTTTGTCACCAGAAAGAGATATTAATTCTAGGGATCACGAACAGGTACAACCTTGTTCTCAAAACAATGACACAATTACAAGTATTGAAGATTCGGATACACAAATCGAGAGGTTTCGAAATCCGATAGCAGATAATGATGAAGAACCTACAGTGCGTCATGCTGAATCAAATAATGATGATGTTCATCCGGATACAGTTATATGTAATGCGTTACAAAACCAGACGAGCGAAAACGAAAACGTCGATGCCATAAGTGCCGAGGCTTCAGGTCTGGACAATGTGTCAATATCTCAACACATTAAAACCGAAGAACTCAGTAATCCGGGAGAAGAGAGGCCAAAATTCCAAAGCTTATTTGAAGAACTTGAATACGTAGAAGGACAAATTGATATTTGGGAAGGACTTCGAGATAAAAAATTAGAACAAATCGAAAAGAAAAGAAAATTACAAGCAGATCAAAAAGCTATAAAAAGATTAAAACGTGATACAGAAAATATAAAGTCAGTTAAAAAAGTTAATATTAACAATTCACGGAGGTTATCACCTAAAATAGTACCACCGGTAACACATCATGAGAAAAAAGTCGAAGATACTTTAACATCGACTTATCGAAAAAAACCAAAAATAGTTATCACAAAAGCCCAAGTTTCAGAAAACCCCACAATAAACATGAGAGATAAGGATATTTATAAGAATTCCCTATTTGATCGATGGCTTAATAATCAACCGCATGAACATAGTGATGAATCGCTTGATGAATCAAAAGAAAATTTATTTTCAAGATTTCAACGAAAATTTCAGCAAGGAACAAAAAAAGAACGTGAGTTACAAGAAGATTATGAATCAAGAATTCGAAGTAGAGCGCTTGATGATGATGGTAGCGATAGTTCTATACAAGAATTAACTAAAAGTATAAAAGGTAAAACTCTAGAAAGGCGTAATACAAAATCGAAAGGGAAGCAACGCGCGGAACCTATACAAGAAAATTCCACTACTTCTGGTTTTGCTATAAGATACCCGGTTCGCACAACTAGAAGCAGAAGGTGTAGTGATTATGTAACCACTGATCAAGAGTTCGCAGAAATATTACAAAAACTTGGCGCTGAAGACCAAAAACAAGGGCAGGAACAACAACGGGGAGAATCATCACGTGCCCGTATTCCGCCATTACAAATTGATATTAGCGGGCAAAAAGCAAGCAATTTTGTGGACAATTCGGGTCGTGTATTAGACCCGGTAAAATTTTATGGACATAATACTCCATTAGGTTCAACTTGGACAAAGGAAGAGCAAACCCAATTTATAGAATTGTTTAAGGCAACACCTAAAGATTTTAATAAAATAGCAGATAATATGACCAATAAAACAGCAGGAGATTGTGCAATATTTTATAAGCATCTCAAAACGGCCAGAACTGAATCAGGAGAGATAGATGAAAAAAAGAGAGCAATTTATAATCGTCTTCATGATATGAAAATAAAGCCTAAGAAAAGAGGTCAAAAACGAACGGTGAGTCGACGGAATCGCACAAATTTTTCTAGTAATCAAGTTCCGTCACCAACACGTACAACAGATACAATTGAGCAATCTAGTGTTGGAGGCATAGAATCGGTTGAAAGACCAGAAGATTCATTGCAAGTTTCGCAATTACAAAGTCCTAAGGTGGAAGATTCAGAAGATACAAAAGAAGCATCAATTAATCATCTTCTTGACCAAGAAGTTGGACAAGCAGCGCTAGCACTAACATTGATGTCGAGACAACTCCTAGAAAATACGGAAAAATCGTCCGAACAAACTTTACCAAAGGCTAAAACAATTAATAAAACAGAAGGACATGCAACGCAAAATTACGACTTTCATTCAGGGCACATTCAAACAGATGAGTGTCAATCAACGCTTTCGATAGGATCATTGTTGAACCCATCAGATGAATACGATCCGTCCATAAGATGGTTTGAAGAATAACAGGGTTTCGGAAATAAGAAATATTTATATTTATTGTAAAATGATGTATTTAAATAATTTAAGTAATTTTTTTTTTTTTTTTATAAAAAATTTAGTATATATTTATTATATAATCGAAAGTTTAACAGAATTGTATATATCACAAATTCTCGATACGTATTTATTTATGTTCAATTTTAAGACAATCATAAACTTCAAAAAAAAAAACTGATTGACCAGTTAAATATTCCACATTATACTGTATTATATAGCAAATATGTTTGTCATTTTTGACCCCTTTATATTCTTCAGGATCGATTTTAAAAGAATTCACATATCAATGCTACTGTATCATTAGTTTCCAACTTATAATAATATGGAACAGGTAGTAGACCAGTTCCTTTTTTATTACTGTATTAGGATAATGTCCCAAACCTTTTAATTAAAGGAGTGATCCACAGTTTTACTGCTACAGATTATATATTTTACATAGTTATTATCATATCAGATATATAAAGTGGATAATCTCACTATCAGATCGATTTTACCATTTTTAGAACTGGAAAATTGGAAACTTGTCTGTTTTTATGAGAAGCTTTCTTAGTAAAAATTATTGTCATTCTAAGCTTACTTGTACCACGGACTAGCATTTGTAGTCGATCTAAATAAATATATAAAAAAAAATTTTTGCGATATAACATCCCTTAATTTATATCAGGTACATTATAAGAACAGCGTACACTAAATTTTTTACTCTTTTCAAATTGACGTGTTTGGTATAACGGATGCTCATATACAGATTTAATTAACTTAATTAAGTCGATTTTTTAAAAAAAAATCGTCAATAAATCATATTTAAGTTCAGATGATAAATTGCTATCGCGATAGTAATCTTTTAGCAATTAATAATGATTTGGTATTGGATTATGATTTAGCATTGGTATTGTTGACAATTCTTGTCAACATCATGTGTTTAATTATCTGCTATGATAGCGATCTCTGACTACTTGGATATAAGATAATTCTCGTAAGATAAGCTAGTGATTGCAATTTGAGGATATAATAGTGATCTTTAAATCTGGATATTTTATTAGTAATAAAAATACAATGGTAAACGATAAGTAATATCAATTTACAGAATAAATCTTCACAGACGCAGCCAATGGCTCGCCTGAGAACCAATTTATTATCTCGAAGCGTAATTACATGTTAAAATTTTGCAAAGATTATTTTTCTTAGGAAAAAAAAAACAACCATTCTATCTGACTATATTTTTACTGATTTTCACTTTGATTATCAAGAGCCCCACGATTGCTGATTGCTTTAGCTTGTCCATACCCAATTAAATTTCTATCATTAACAAATCCTAATCGATGCAACCCAAAACTTGCGGTCTCATATCCAGCCCACGCAAGTGTAGCAAAACACGCAGCAATAAAAGCAATTAACAACATAACGCCTGCCACCGGAAGAAAGATCGCCAAGCCCACAAAAGTAAAGAATCCTTGAGCGATTACAATTCCAACGCCTGCCAAGGCAGAGACAAATCCAAAGGTTAAGACAGCCCATGCGACAAATAAAGCAAGAGGGAGACTGTTGAACGCGCATAAAGTATACGTTAGCCAACGTACGGGAGGAAAATTAGCCCATAAGTATTTAACAGAGTTTATCATTGGTTGCAAGATTGGGCCTATATAGTGACTACCACGTTCCCAATAACTGTAACCAATTCTGGTAGCCGTTTCGTAGGCTTTTGTGCCATAATCTTTAGCTGTATCCGTAATTTGAGAACCAGATGTTTCACGTTGTGGACTTGAATCTCGAGCGGACATTTTTGAACCGTCGGCTTAAATTGATTTAAAAAAAAAAAGCTAAAAAAGAGGTGGCTTGCAGATTTTACGAAAGGGATTTTAGAAAGTAAGAAAGATTATGTTGTTTATATAAAGAAAATCGAAGTTTATCAAAATATTTATCATCATTTTTGCTAATTCATCGATGTATGATTATGAAGTAATCTTGATAAAAGTATGATCCAATTTTTTTTTTAATATAATTGAAAAAGCTTTTATAATTTCATCACATAATTATTTCATCATTGTAACTTATCTAGTGACGCGTTGCTAAAGTTTAATTTGGTAACCAGGCGATAATATCATATAGTTGTCATAATAATAAATGAGTGCCGCCAAGGAAAAACCTGGAATTCTTAATTTTCGGAAACTCCGCTTTTAGAAACAGACAATATCAAATTCTTATAAGATGTTTCTGAAAATACATTTCGGCACTCAAAATATTAGAAAATTTTTCTACCAACAGTCTATTTACAGAAATAAATGTACGCACGCGTAACATGGTCGAATTTGTCGAAACTACCCCTAGATCGCCACTACAATTTTCACCGGCACGTGATCAACTGGCGCAAACCAATCAAATTTGTTATTCATACCCTTGTAAACTATAAACAAAGATTTCTTGTCAACCACCAAGTCAAATTTAATAAACTTATTTTATTTGCATTCTACAGATTTAGAACCTAAATAAAAAAAAAGCACATTGGATTTAACCTAGTGGTTGATAAGATATCTTTATTCTAAGTTTGAGAAAAATTTTGGTATAGCTTTATTTTGATAGACGTTTTGAGTCTTTTTAAGACTTTGAGCAAAGTTATCTTGTCAATTACCAAGTCAAGCTTATTTTATTTGCATTCTACAAATTTAGAATTAAATAAAAAAAAGTGCATTAAATTTAACCTGGTAGTTAATAAGATATCTTCATTCTAAGTTTGAGAAAAATTTTGATACAGCTTTATTTTGATGGATATTTTGAGTTTTTTTAAGACTTTGAGCGAAGTTATCTTATTAACTACCAAGTCAAGCTTATTTTATTTGCATTCTACAGATTTGTAGAATCTAAATAAAAAAAAGCACATTGAATTTAACCTGGTAGTTAATGAGATATCTTTATTCAAAGTTTGGAAAAAATTTTGTCACAACTTTATTTTGATAGATATTTTGAGTCTTTTTAAGACTTTGAACAAAGATATCTCATCAACTACTAAGTCAAATTTAATAAGCTTTTTTTATTTGCATTCTACAGATTTGTAGAATTTAACCTAGTAACTGATAAAATATCTTCACTCTAAGTTTTAAAATATCTATTAAAATGAAGCTGTGCCAAAATTTTTCTCAAACTTCGAATATAATGTTTAGTAAAATCAAACTTTTTTTTGATACTCAAATACATATAATAGGCTAACTTTTAAATTAATATAGCAATACTGTATTTTATAGTTATCATATTACTATATTGCTGTAATGATTTAAAAGTCAAATTATTATATATACTTGAGTATCAAAAAAAAGTTTGATTTTGCTTAGCATTAATTGTGAGTACATATTAAAAATAAAAAAATAAAAAGTTTTATCTTATAGACATAGTATTAAAGTAATAACTATAACAATTATATATAAGAAAAAAGTATATAATAAATAATAAGCTAGTATCATTTTCTAGCAATAATGTTTTGTCTTTTCTAATAATTGTGATTTAATATTTTTATCCAATAACTGTGGTTTTGTTTTTGCCTAATAATTGTAGTTTTGTATCTTTATTTAATAATTGTGGTCTGGCATCTTTACCTAATAACTATGATTTGATGTCTTTATTTAATAACCATAGTTTGGTGTTTTTGCCCCAAAATTATATATCTTTATATAATAATAATAGTAGTTATACTGTGTATCGAGAAAATAAATATGGTACAGATTTGCAAAGATCTGTAACCCTAAAAATTTTTAACAAAATTTGTGATAACTTGTAACTCAGTGATCAAAACTTAATGGTTTTGATACCATTCGATTCATCTTAATAAGACAGATTGAATAATACTAAAATCGGTAAGTTTTGACTACTAGGTTATAAGATAATTATATTTAAGTATATTTTATAACTATTAAATGAACTCATTAACCAGCAGTCTAAAATTAATGATTTTAGTACCATTCGATTCCTCTTGATGAAATAGTTCAAATGATACCAAAAACTTTAAAATCGGATTACAGGTTATTGAGATATTTGCAAAAAACATTTTGTAATGCAGTTTTGTGCAGAAATTTTTAAAAAAAAATTAAATTTTTGCACAGAACTGTATCGCAAAATGTTTTTTGCGAATATCTTGATAACCTGTAATCCAATTTTAATGTTTTTAGTATCTTTCAAACTGTCTTATCAAAAGGAATCGAATAGTACCAAAACTATTAATTTTAGACTGCTGGTTAATGAGGTTGTTTGTTAGTTGTAAAATATACTTAAATGTAATTATCTTATGACCCAGTAGTTAAAACAATGATTTTAGTATCATTTAATCTGTCTTATCGAGATGAATCGAATAGTATCAAAATTATTAAGTTTTGATTACTAGGTCACAAGTTATTACAAATTTTGTTAAAATTTTCTAAAGTTACAGATCTTTGCAGATTTGCACTATATTTATTTTTCTGATGTGCTTTTTTCAATAATTATAATAATTATTCATTGTGAGTATATATAAAAAAAGTATTTAATATGAATGTATATTGAAAAGAAAAAAAATAAAAAGACTTATTTTATAGATATAATATTAAAGAGATAATTATAACAATTATATATAGAAAAGAAGCATATTGTAATATAAAAAGCTAGCCTTGCTAACTATACTACTTGACTTAACATGAAGAGGATAAGGATATGTGTATACAAAAGATAAAACTCAAATAAAACCCAAATAAGACTCAAATATAACTCAAAAGGAATAAACTCAAAGTATATAAACTCAAAAATAACTCAGGATATAGAATATAAAGTATAGGAAATAGGAAGAAAAACCCAAAAAAATACAATAAAAATACAATAAAAATAGGATAAAAACTCAAGGAAAACTCAAGAAAACTCAAAAAAAACACTATAAAATCACTATAAAAACTTAATAAAAAGAGCATATACATGGTAGTGGGTATATAGTCAAAGGTATATTATTTATTTAT